TAGAACATTATGCAAAGGACATTTAAATTTTGTGGCATTGGATTCAAAGCAGAACAATAGATAAAAACTCAAGGATTCTAGTAGTTCTAAACTTGGTAAAAAAGTTAGCATACAATAGTCTAGGATAACAAAATAAGAAAAATAGATGTTGTATTGGTGGTTATAAAACATGTATGTCTTCCTCTGACATCATTTGTCATAATGAGCTCCAGATGTTTAAAGAATTAATATTGGAAATATCTCTTTAGGCTTGGCACCTGTAACTCAAGTGGCTAAGGCACCAGCTACATACACCTTACCCGGCGGGTTTGAATCCAGCCCATGTCCACCAAATAACAATGACAGCTGTAATCAAAAAACAGCTGGGTGTTGTGGTGGGCACCTGTGGTCCCAGCTGCTTGGGAGGCAGAGGCAGGAGAATTACTTGAGCCCAGGAGTTGGTTGGAGGTCGCTGTGAGCTGTGATGCCATGGCACTCTACCCAGGTCAACGGCTTGAGGCTCTGTCTTGGGGGGGAAAGAAAATATCTCTTTAAAAGTTAAACAAAATGGTATGTTACAGTTATCTAGCTGTGGTAGATGAATTAACTTTTTGAGTATTAAATCAGTAGGCTAAATTATCAATGGCAGATTGGGAGGACTTGATCATATCAAAATTAAGCAGTAATTCTCTCTCTGTTTATTTATTTTTTGAGACAGAATCTCATTCTGTCACCCTGGGTAGAGTGCTGTATCATCATCATAGCTCACGGCAACCTCAAACTCCTGTGTTCAAGCAATCCTCTGGCCTCAGCCTCCCAAATAGCTGAGAGAACAGGTGTCTACCTAGCGTCCAGCTAGTTTTTCTGTTTTTAGTAGAGATGGGGTTTTGCTCTTGCTCAGGCTGTTTTCGAACTGCTGAGCTCAAGCAATTCACCGACCCTGGTCGTTCAGAGTGCTAGGATTATAGGCAAGAGCCATCACTCCTGGCCCACAGTAACACTTTTTTTTTGAGACAGAGTCTCACTTTGTTGCCCTCAGCAGAGTACTCTAGTATCATAGCTCACAGCAACCTCAAACTCTTGGGCTCAAGCAACTCTCTTGACTCAGCCTCCCTAGTAGTTGGGGCTACAGGTACCCACCACAATGCTATTTTTTATTTGTTGTTGTTTGGCAGGCCTGGGCTGGGTTCAAACCCACCAACCCCAGTGCATGTGGCTGGTGCCCTAATCACTGAGCTATGGGTACCCCCACTTAATTGATTCTTTTTTTTTTTTTTAACAGTCTCACTATGTCGCCCTTGGTAGAGTGCTGTGGCGTCACAGGTTTAAGTGATTCTCTTGCCTCAGCCTCCCAAGAGGCTGGGACTATAGACGCCCGCCACAATGCCCAGCTATTTTTTTTGTTGTAATTGTCATTGTTGTTTAGTAGACCTGGGCGGGGTTCGAACCCACCAGCCCCCATGTATGTGGCCAGCACCCTAACCACTGAGCTAAGGGCACCAGGCCATATGCTGCCATTTTCATCATTATCTTACAATTTGAAGAATCACTTTTGAGTCACTGAGCCATTTTGTAAATCAGAGATATAGTGCAACATAAAAAGGAAGAAAGTAAAGTATCTCAAGAATGTTTAAAAAAGTATCCAATGTGCGCAATACTAAAATGAAACCAGTATATAAACAATTAGACTTGGCTCAGTGCCTGTGGCTCAAGTGGCTAAGGCGCCAGCCATGTACACTTAAGATGGTGGGTTCGAATCCAGCCCGGGCCCACCAAAACAATGACGGCCGCAACCAAAAAATATAGCTGGGCGTTGTGGCGTGCACCTGTGGTCCCAGCTACTTGGGAGGCGGAGGCAGGAGACTCACTTGAGCCCAGGAGTTGGAGGTTGCTGTGAGCTGTGATGCCACAGCAGTCTACCCAGTGGGGACAGCTTGAGGTTCCTGTCTCAAAAAAAAAAAAAAAAAACAACTAGACTCCCATATGAGAGAAGAACCATAAGTATAGTCTAGTGAGGGGGAGGAGTGGAAGAAGGGGGGTCGGAGGGAAGGGGATTGAAGGAATCTCACCTTACATGCACAATGTGAGGGTGTTCAGCACACCTCCTGGGTGGAGGGCTCAACTACAACTTGAACTTTCCCTTAGTGAAAATAATGTAACCTAAATATTTGTACCTCATATTAATCTGAAATTAAAAAAAATTAAAGGGGAGAAAATGCAAAATTATTTGAAGTAAACAAAGCTGATACAAATTAATATTAAAAATGTAAAGAACAATTACAAATCTGCAGGTTGGCACGCATTCTCTACTAGATAAACAGTTAAAGGGTATGAACAAATAGTTTGCATAAGAGAATATGCAAGTATTAAGCCAATATTTGGGAATATTTCAGTGTGAATTAATAAAAGTGTAAGTCTATTTCATACCTATTAAAATAGCAAAGTGACAAAACTCAGTGTTAGTGTGTTTGTGGGGAAACAGACACACTCCCAGATTCCTGGTATGTTTTCTGGAGAGCAGTAGATCAAAATTAAATACAAGCTGTCAAGAAAATTAGTCTGGGCTCAGCACAGCTCTGGTGGGCGCCTGTGGTCCCAGCTACTTGGGAGGCTGAGGCAGGAGACTCACTTAAGCCCAGGAGTTGGAGGTTACGGTGAGCTGTGATGCCACAGCACTCTACCCAGGGGGACAACTTGAGGCTCTGTCTCAAAAAAAAGAAAAAGAAAAAGAAAATTAGTCTGTTCTTTGTGGCAGTACTCCCAAAGGAATAACTCTCCGGAAAATCATATAAAAGAAGAAAGATATTTGTACAAAGATAATTGTAACCACACTATTTAAGTAGTAAAATTCTAGTCATTACTCAACTACCTGACAACTTTGATAATTGTGGTGCAGACTAGAAAACATTAACATGTCATCATATTAGTAACTGCGAAAGCCATGAATCTGAGCACTTTGACAATATTATATGTAGAGTTTGTTATGTGGCTGTTGATGACTCTGTCAAATTATGTTTGTCTAATGAGAGCGTCAGTGCTGTTAGGAATTCTCAGTAATCTAAACCAATGCTGCTTCAACTCTAAGGTGATTAAATCAAGTGCTCAATCACCATTGTTATGGGATAAGATAAGGACCACCGACTCAAATTAAGATTTCAAAAAGGAGTCTTTTATTAATGGTGGGACTGTTTCAGCAAAGTCTAAAGCAGACTAAGGGAGACAGCATTGAAGCTCTCAAGTTGGGGTTGTTCTAGTCTAAAAGTTGGCAATGAGCCAAACAGGTGGTCTGAAAGTTAGCAATTAAAAGTAAAAAGAAAATTGGCGAAAGAAGCAGAAAGCAAGCACGGGTCACGATGACCCCCTTTTACAGGAGTGAACCGGCAGTTTAGCGGATTAGCCAATAGGTAACATAAAGGGCAGTTAGATAACAATAAGGTAACATAATGCAGATCTGGCAACTAATGGATAAATAAAACCATTTTGGACAGCACTTAGCTCATTAGCTTTCTTGATGACAGTTCTTGGCCCATCAGTTCTTATCTTGTCCTGTTCTGCCCTGATCCGGACTGATTTAAGAGTAATGGTACTTGGCATTGTTTCATTTACCTCTTTTACCCCTTCCTCCTACCCAGGGGTGGTGGGGGGTGGTGGTGGTGGGGGGGTGGTGTGAGGCCGTTGTGAGGCTGCCGGCATCCATTTTATGGGGGTGATCAGGGTTGCTGGCACCCATCTCACCATGTAGGGCTTACATATCAGAAAGCTCTGATTCTGCAACAATTACATCATCACAGTAAGTTCTACTGGACAATATTGAACTAAATTATTATTGTTATTATTATCATTATTATTATTATTTTTGAGACAGAGTCTCACTTTGTCGCCCTTGGTAGAGTGCCATAGCATCACAGTAACCTCCAATTCTTGGGCTTAAGCGATTCTCTTGCCTCAGCCTCGCTAGAAGCTGGGACTACAGGTGCCCGCCACAACACGTGGCTATTTTTTTGTTGCAGTTCAGCCAGGGCCGGGTTTGAACCCGCCACCCTTGGTATATGGGACCAGCACCCTACCCAGTGAGCCACATGTGCCGCCGAGATAAATGGAATTCTATCTCATTGACTTTATTGTCAATCCATAGGTGTGTTATAATAATTTGTTCTTTGTTTCTTGATAAGCAGTCCCTTTCAATAGCGTGGCTTTATTTTCTTTACCAATTTTTTTCCTATTCTGACCTTTCTGAGCTATACCCAAATTATAAGTTAATAAACCAGGCGCCGTTGTCCCAACTACTCGGGAGGCTGAGGCTGGAGGATCTCTTTGAGCCCAAGAGTTTGAGGTTGCTGTGAGGTAAGATACCACAACACTCGACCCAGAGTGACAGAGTGAGACTCTGTTTCCAAGAAAAAGAAAAAATAATAGTAACTTAATGTTTATCAGGGGTGATAATGTTTAAAGAAGTATTGCAATAATTTAAAGTGAGCTATGTATATATATATATCTGTATAATTTGTGAAGAAATACACCACAACTATAACCCCATGTGACTGTTTCATAAATTTATTTTATTAAAAGTTATTCTCTAGCATAACCAACCTGTGTTAGGATATAGGCATGATTTTTTCTTTCTTTCTTTCTTTTTTTTTTTTTTTGAGACTTAAGTGTCACTCTTGCCCAGCCTAAAGTGCCATGGCATCAGCTTAGCTCACAGCAACCTCAAACTCCTGGGCTCAAGTGATCCTGCCTCAGCCTCCCAAGTAGCTGGGACTACAGGCACCCACCAGGCCACTCAGCTTAATTTTTCCATTTTTAGTAGAGACCGGATCTTGGTCTTGCTCAGGCTAGTCTCAAACTCCTGATTTCAAGCAATCCTCCTGCCTCTGCCTTGCAGAGTGCTAGGATTACAGGCATGAGCCACCGGCCAGCCTACGGACATCATGCTTTGTTGGCTAAACATTTTGTGGGTGATTTCTTTTTCTTTACCTTTGTAAAGTGGAAATACTGACAATTGTCATGTTTTCTTCCAGGAATTTATGCAAATATTCTCATGAGGTTCTCTCTGAAGAGAACCGCAACATCCTGAAGTTGCATGAGCTCTCTGGCCTTAACCAAGAGGAATTAGCAGTGCTCCTCCTCCAAAGTGATCCTTTCTTTATGCCTGAGGTAAGTTACGATTCCTCCATTTAAGAAGCAGGGAGGGTGGCTTGGCACCTATAGCTCAGTGGCTGAGGGTACCAGCCACATACACCAGAGCTGGTGGGTTCAAATCTGGCCCAGGCCTGCCAAACATTAATGACAACTACAACCAAAAATAGCTGTCATTGTGGCTGGCCTCTGTAGTCCCAGCTACTTGGGAGACTGAGGCAAGAGACTCACTTAAACCCAGGAAAGAGTTTGAGGTTGCTGTGAGCTGTGATGCTACGGCACTCTACTTACGGCAACATAGTGAGGGTCTCACTCAAAAAAAAAAAAAACACAGGGAGGACTTGGTGCCCATAGTTCAGTGGTTAGGGCACTGGCCACATATACTGAGGCTGGCAGGTTTGAATCTGGCCCAGGCCTGCTTAACAACAATGAAAACTGCAACAAAAACATAGCCGGGAGTTGTGGCAGGGGCCTGTAGTCCCAGCTACTTGGGAGACTGAAGCAAGAGAATTGCTTGAGCCCAAGAGTTTGAGGTTGCTGTGAGCTGTGACGCCAAGGCACTCTGCTGAGGGCGACATAGACAGACTGTGTCTGAAAAAAAGAAAAGAAAAAGAAAAAAAGCAGGGAGAAAATACCATCGGCATTATTGTGGCATGGATGTGTTGGCATAGGAGCGGGAAAGACTCAAAGTTGGCATCAGGGCTGGGCAGGCGGCAGGCAGGGCTATTACTGAGTGACCTAAGAGAGCCCACCAGTCTCTCCCTGGGTGGAGTTTCTCATTGATTCGAGTCTGGAACGTCTCCTCCACCAGGCTGCTACAGAAGCCTGTGTGAGCAAGTGTGGGCTGAAGATGTAATAGGAGGAGGGCAGATTGATACTTTATATCAGGGTGCCTTCTCTGAAGAGGTGAGCTTTGAATTGAGGTTTAGAAGATGACAGGGAAGAGGATGCTAAGCTGTCATGACAGAGATTCCCCCAAATTTAATTTTATTTCTCTATCACCTGATAGTCTAGATCCAGGAGTCAGCGCTCTGTAAGGACCTGAGCTGATTTCTGTAGTTAGCTTTAGTTAGTATCGTTGGCATGAGTTTCTACTCAGAAATGCTGGTCAAGAAAAGTCTCTAAAGGAGCATTTTAACTTGGGGGAGTAGGATGAGATTTTTTCATAGGGCTTTAGCAGGAGGAGTGAAGAGTTCAGCTAGTTTCAAGAACAGTTGGTCAAGGAGGGAGGAATTATCCCTGCAGATTAGCAGCCATTGTTTGGACTTTATCAAAAGGGGTGAGGAGGGAAAGAGGGGCTAAGTTAATTTCTGGGAGGCATGTAGAGAAACAGCTGGGGTTGGGGGGGCAGTGGACAAGGATCTGAGGGCCACGGTGGGATATTCTCAGTCACTTCCCTGCTTGCTTTGCATTCACTCAGCTAGGATTTCAGAATCCCTGCAGATGTGAGGCAGCAGTGGACAGACTCTCCTGCCCTAAAAAAGTTAAAATATTCCCACTTTTTAACTTTGCTTTGACCTGTGAGGACATAAAAACATCAGGCAACCTGACTTCCTGTTTTTCATATATATATA